ATATATTATACAATTAAAGCATTAACAGGCTTTAGATGAATTCTAAAAATGATACTTTTCTGCAAATATCTCTTTTTTTCTTATTTTAGCACACCGATTAAAGACATGACGTCATAGTTTTTTAAGAACTGTAACAGAAAGTCACTAAGTTAAAGTTTCATTCAGGCCCAATAAGCACAAAGCTTTACCCTCTGACTCAGAGGCAGATTTACAGAAGATCACTTTAAAAAGAGCTCATCTCGATTTAATCACCTGATCATCCATCACTGAGGCTCATATGACAGCAGCTGTAATGAGAAACATCTCCTTTGTGAGGTCGAAGCTCCGTGACGTTAAATTTAAAGGTGTAGATGTTTTCAGGTTCTCTGCAGCAAACCTGGATTGGTGTTTGCTGCCAATGATTTAACTAAATTAAATGTTTTATTCTTGTGTTTTATTCTGAGACCAACAAATCTGTATAAATATTCCAACCCTTTAAAAGTCATTTTAATTAAAGCTGCAAGTCGTGAGTTGTGCGTTTAATCTTATTGCTGTTGTTTTATTTGTTTATTTTGTCTGAACAAACTGACTTGGATCAAACTACTTCAGTTTTTGCCTTCATCCCTGCTTTTATAACTCAATCTGGCTTAAAATACAGATTTGTAATTTCTGCTCCTGCTGCTTTTTAAAACTAGTTTTTACTGCCCGTTGGTTCCAGTACAAGAGCAAAATCAGTGATGAGATGGACCTGAAGAAGCGGATCCAGTCCCTGGAGGAGTCCATGGATCTCCACGAGAGGATGAAGAGGCAGGCGCTGGCCGAGTTCGAGAGCTACCGCCAGCGGGTGGAGGACATGCAGCTCTGTACCGAGGCTCAGGTACGTGGAGTTGCAGCTCGAGGCTCTGCAGCCCAGCAGCAGGTAACTCGTGTTGTGTTTGTTTCTCCATCCAGCCGGGAACCTGCAGAGTCCCTGTTCATCAGCAGCACCAGCTGGTTGCGTAGCTGTCTTGAGCAGGGCGCCATAACATCCTGAATTTATTTGCTTTTTAAAGTAAAAATGAATGTTTATGTGTTTTTCTGTTCATTCAGCTTCATGTCAACGTCTGTTCTGACCACATTATAAATATAACTCCAGACCATCTTGGCAGGGCTTAATTTGTAAACTGATTGATGCAGGAATGCAAATAATGGGTGGGCTGAAGGAGGGCATTGTGTGTGTGTGTGTGTGGGGGGGGGGGTCTTCCCCCAGAATTTTTTTAATAAAATAGATGCGATTTCCTGCATTATGGTGTATATTAACGGGTCATTAAACATCTGTTTACCTACATTTGTATCTATCTAGTCCGGAGAATTCAATTCAATTCAATTCAAAAATACTTTATTAATCCCAGAGGGAAATTATTTGTTGCTGTAACTCGTTATCCTCATTTCATTAAGAGATGTTATAGATGCTGATGGCTGTAGGCAGGAAGGATCTCTTGCAAAGATCCATCCCACAGTGGATCCTAAGAAACTGGTTGCAGATGCCGTCCGATCCGTCCACCCAGACTCGGCTGGCCTCTCGGTTCCCCCGGGCTGTAGGACCGCCCGAATGCCGGGCAGAACTCCTCCCAGAGCGGTGGCCACTCCTCCCAGCAGTCTGCCGAGCTCCTCGTCGCTGCGGACAGCCAACTGTAGGTGCTGAGGGACGATCCTGTCCTTCCGCTGTCATGACCCATGTTTCCTGCTAGTTCCAGGATCTCAGTGATCAGGCACTCGAGCACAGCTGGCAGGTAGATGAGAATGCGTCCACAGAACATCCTTTCAACTCATTAGATATTTGGGGCTGTAGTTGAGATATTATTTGAGCTTTTCAGATGTTAATCAGCTGCTGTTGGTTGTAGAAAACTGCCTTGTTGCCATGGTTACGCATCATAACAAATGTCCAAAACTAAAAAAAAGTTTCAGTAAAAATCCTTCCAGCTGCACAGCATCCGATAGCAGAGTAAACAATCATCCAAAAAATGTGCTTTACATCCAGAAAAAGAGGAATTAAAGTTTCCAAAAGCAAAATCTCAGAATGAAAGTAAGAGAGCTGCTCCAACATGCAGCCACCTTGAGCGGCGCAATTCTAGAACTTCTAGAAATTCTAGAACTTCTAGAAATTCTAGAATACGGTAAACACTCCACTTCTGTCAAGCATCCTACCCCCCTCCCCCCATGTGACGGTTCCTAGCCGACTCTTTTCCGCTGAATTCACTGTCCTGTTGTCCGACTCCACATGTGAAGCCTCCAGGCGCCTCCTCCGTCTGTTCAAGGCAGCTTCCTGTGGGCTCCTGCCCGCGTACGACTACCTGGTTAGCTCGGCATTCACCCCCACCACTCTTTTAGGGGCAGAGATTTTTTTTAAGGATAGAAGCAGAAATGTTGCTTCAAGAGCCCAACAATTTTCAGTCTGGTCAGGTGTTTTGGTTACTTAAAGAGGCAGCTTGTATTCTCGTAAGTGGCTGTTGTGTTTAAAATGAGTGTTTATGTAATTATCTTCAGTTTACATACCAAATATAAGTTTTATTCATTCAAGGCAGTCATATTTGTTAAAACTTTATTATTAGTAAGCCTGAGAGTTATTGGATCCAAACAAACAGTTACTGGCACGCACCCCGTCAAAATAAGAGAGTTCCCGGATCCTGTTCTGACAGGATCCGGCTCAAATTAAGCTCTGCATCTTGGTCTTTGTGGTACAGGTAGGTTGTAGAGCTAATGCTACAACAAGTCCAGTGTTGTAGGTCAATTTTTTTTTCAGTAAAATGACCTGCTACAAATAAGTTTCTTATCTTGATTTACCATAAACAATCGCTAACCCAGCCAAATGTGACAAATGTTTTTCATATTTGACTCCTTCTCGTAGTTGGTGCAACTTATTTGTTTCTGAAGTAAAAACGATGCAAATTTTGTTTGATTTTCAAGTTGTGCTGCCAAATGAAGCAAGCAGCTTGAAAATGTTTGTAAATCTAACCAGGAAGATGTTCACTTTAACGCCTCATCTACTTGTTATTGCTTTTCTTACGGTTCAGTGAGTTCCGACCCACTGTGATGTTTCTCTTGTTGTATTTCAACAATATTTCTCTGTGTTTTTATTTCTCACATTGCTTGTAAATCTAAAGCTAAATCTCTAAATTAGTGCTAATTTAGAGCGGGCAGATTGACAGAAGGTCGGACTCCCCTGAGCCAGAGCATCTCCGTTTGTCTCAGACTTTTCCAACGACTCACTGTGTTTAAAGCTGAGAAGCTCGTAAATCGATCTTCTTTGGCTCAGCCTTTCGTTTTGTCTTCTTTGGCAGCACACGCAGCGCGTGGTGTCCATGTCGAGGGAGGTGGAGGAGATGAGGCGGTCTTTTGAGGAGAAGCTGCGAACGTTCAGCCAGGCCCAGGCTCAGTTTGAGCAGGAGAAGAGAGCCGCTCTGGAGGAGCTGAAGGCTGAGCACAGACAGGAGATCCAGGAGATCCTTCGCAGCCATCAGAGTCAGAACGCAAACTACAGCAAAGACCAGGAAAAACTGGGGCAGCTCCATAAAGCCGAGGTAACTTCTGCAAAAGTAGAACAGCTCCTGAAAGCCAAAGTAAACAACAACAAGAAGTGGGAAGAAAGCAGAACCTCAGTGGTTATGAAGTTGTTTCTGTTCAAACCTTTGAGTTACTGTACGCTGCAGACATTTAAAATCAAAGAAACGTTTCAATCAATCCTGAGTTCGACGTCACTTTTATCCTTCAGGTGGATTCTCTGACGGAGCGGGTGGAGGAGCTCAAACAAGACAAGAAGAGATTAGTAGAGGAGTACGAGGCCAAACTCAGCAAGGTACCTCCCTCCAAACTGTCAATCAACTGTGGCATCATAAATAATAAAAGTTACATTTTGATTTCAAGCAACCAGACTTTTTTATATTTTAAAGTTGTCTTTATCAAGTAATTTAGGTTGTCTGAAGGTATTTTGAAGTTTTTCTGTAGATTTTGATGCTTTTTCTACTCATCTTGGTTTTTTTTTTCTTACACCACTGAAATCTGAATCACCCAGGCTTTAAAAAGGCTCCAAAACTCAAGAGATGAACAAATGTTAGACCGACATACAACAGACCACTTAGCAAAGAATGTACTATACAATTGATCAGAGATCCTCAAATCCCTGACTCCCAACAGGTCAGTCTGGACCCAGAGCACATGTTGGATCCAACCATTGGGATGCATTGGTACTATGCAGGTTGGTGTGGCTCCTTGCGGAGGAAAAGAGTGCACGGAAGCTGTGGAAACAGCAATGAATTCTGTTTCTTTAATTCCCCAACTGTCTGTTTTCTACTGCTGTGTGAAGAAAAGGAGGTCAGCCTGGAAGCAGGTTGCAGCTTCAGCCTCTGTCAGTGTCAGAAACTGAAGCAGCGGAGAAGAAGGCGTTACGTCACATGGAGTTATCGATGTGCAAAACGGGTTCGGCCCTAAATCTTGGTGCGAGTCTGCAGTTTCAGCAAATATTGTGGTTAAAAGCTCATTGTGCGCTGCGGTTTAGGCAGCTCGTTGAAGGCAGACGGTGTCATTTTCACCAGATTAGTTTGTAACATCAAAATGACAGGAAGTAAAAGCTACAGATGTCCTGAGACTTCAAATACAGTCTTTAAGCTTAATATGTTTATTTTTGTGTAAAGATGTTGGGCTTTGTTGAGGCACAAAAAGTAATCGAATTAATCAGATTTAGGTTAAAATATCACATTAAAACTCCAACAGTGCACGTTACTGTCAAAAGTTAGAGCAGCTTTGATTCACAAGAATACAGTTGTAGGCAAACAGAGACATTTGTATTTGTAAGTTGTAAGCAAATTTAATAAAAATGAGTTGATTATCGCTAGTTGTGCCGGAGCTTTGACTTTATCTTACTCAGATTCAGACCTCTGAAGATAAAGATTGAGAATCTCTGATCAACACACTGAAGATCTCTTAGATCCTGTATGTTTAAAGCCTGACACTTTTTCTTGTCTCCTCCACTTTCCTCAGTTTTTAAACACCCACTCCATAACGCCATTGTGGTGGTCAGACAGAAAATGAGTGAAAAAGCAGCAAAAGCCCAAAGAAAAATGTTCTAAAACCTCCATAGAAGCATACAAAGCTACTGATGAAGACCACTTTGAAAGATAACAAGAAGCCCTCGCCCATCGAAGTGTTCCAACATGAGTTTGTAACTTCTGCACAGAGCTGTAACTGGGCTAACGGGTTGTTTTCTGACATCTTGTGAGGTGATTTATGGGTTTGAAGCGACGTCGCTGAGATACAATTTGTGGATGCATTTATGCAGCTCATGATGTATTAGTTTATGTTTGTTTAGGGTTCTGTCTTGTTCAGATGATAAATCGAACAATTCCTTAAATGTGCGTTTAAAAAAAAAAAAGTATATTCAGTATACAGTAATATACTGTCCTCCATACTGAGCCCAACCTAAAAGCTAAAGGTTAGATCAGATTAGTCTTGTTCTATCAGCTTTTGTCGAATAAAAATACCAATAAAACTTAATAAAATAGAAAATTATCTAAATTTTTAAACATACAGTACCATCCTCTGTCGTACGGTATCGTAGTAAGGCTTAAGGGTTTGTAACGACATTCTTTTAGCAAATGATTCTCATCAGTTTGTAATAGTTGTACGCCTGGACCTTACCGCTGCTTTTGATACCGTTGACCACATTATCCTTATATCATGGTTAGAACGCTGGGTTGGGATTACAGGTGCAGCATTAGAGTGGTTCTGTTTTTATTTGAGTGACAGGAGTTTTTGTGTTAATCTTGGTAATAGTTCATCTGCTTCAGTGCCTCTTTTCTGTGGGGTCCCGCAAGGCTCGATTCTTGGACTCCTTCTGTTTTCATTGTATATGCTACCCTTGGGGTCTATCCTGAGGAAACATGGTTTTTCGTTTTATTGCTATGCTGATGATTGTCAGATTTATCTAAATTGATTTTAAAATTCTCCTGTTGACCTTTAAGTGCCTAAATGACCTTACACCCTCATGTCTTTCTGACCTACTTCAACCACCTGTTCCTTCTCGAGTGCTGAGATCATCTGACCAGCTGCTTTTGGTGGTACCAAAAACCAGGCTGAAGCTCAGAGGAGATCGGGCTTTTTCAGTCGTGGACCCTAAACTTTAAAACAATCTGCCCCCCAACATTAGACAGGCCACTTCACTCCCTGTTTTTAAATCCCTCCTAAAAACACACCTGTTTTCACTGACGTTTAACACAGTATGACTTGATTTACTATTTCACTGTTTTTGTGATTTTATGTTTTTCTTTTGATGCTTTTAATTACTGCTTTATTGTTAAATACTTTGGTAACAGCTGCTGTTTTAAATGCGCTTTATAAATAAATTTGACTTATCTGTAATCACTAGATTTTATTGCACTAAAATATAACTTCATAAGGCAGAACTAAACACATAAATTAAGGTGATAGATGTAAGATAGTTAGATTTTTTTGGCATATGTTGTAAGATTTGAAAGCTGTGATGAGCAGGTTATTCTACAGTGACAGTGGTAGATGATTTAGACATGTTTTACTTGTAGCGACAACAGAAGTTTCCCCTGAAGTGTGTTTCCTCTCCAAACGGTTTCGCACCTCCCTGTTTTTTCTCGCAGGCTCAGGCTTTTTATGAACGCGAGCTGGAGGCCATGAAGAGAACCCAGCAGCTGACGGCCGACAACCTGCTGGCGTGGAAACGCACCGAGGCTGAGCTGCGGCGTGAGTTTCAGACTCAAGAGGCGGCGCTCCAAAAAACCCTGGGAAAACTGAGGTCCGAACTGGCCCGGGTAACGGATGAAGCTCGGGAGAACCGGGAGAAGTCCTTCAAGCTGCAGACGTCGCTCAACGCAGCAGAGAGCAATATCAAGGTGAGCGAGGACGGGGATTCAAAAAGATTTACGTTTTCTTTGCTTTTAAGAAACGGAGGACAGCGATGGTAAATGGTATCAAAGTATATTTTGGTTTAGTCTGACAACGCCGCTGCAGTGAACAATAAAACAGAAATAAAACACACTTTACATGTATTAAATCACATGGTCATTAATCCATCCATACTGAGCTCATTTAAGACGTCTAGCATGCTGTTCGTTGTGTTTTATTTGGATTTAGGAACTAAATCATCCGTGATGCCGATGTATTAGTTCTCAAGCACACCTATTACTATCCTATGAAAATGTTTTGTCCTGTATCTTGTCACCCATCTTTAAATTAAAACATGCTCATTAAAGCATGCAACTTGATCAGGAATAGTGCACTATGATGTTTGATAGTGGTACGTTGTACAACACAGACATATATAAACCCAACGGTGATCAATGGGACTTTGGTGTGAAACGTGAAAAATCCAGCCCACTCTGCAGCTCAGAGCTTTACGGGAAAAACATTTTTCAAAGTTTAAACGTGTTACAGAAAGTTTGACTTTTCATGTCTGAACTGGTGTTTTGATATCTTCTATGTTTTTTTTACACAGTCTGCGTTTTTATGATTTAATGTGATTTTTCTGTGGTCTTGTCAACTGATGGTTGATGATGTCACACACTAACTTTGGAGATGTTCTTTTTTTCTTTTTTTTTTACTTTTCCAAACAAGTTCTTGCTCCCACAACTGCTTCTGCTGCTTGTCACCGTTCCCCACAAAACTTTAACTTTAAACAGAAGCATCAGGCGATGTTTGCAGAAGCTGTTATGTTCCTCAGGGTTTTAATTTCATTAGTTTTCAGCGCGTTTAACTGTAATCCAGATGAAGAAGCTACAACAAAGCACAGAGCTTGAAATCAACTTCACTTAACTTTTTTTTTCTTTTAAGAAACATCCCAAGACATTCAGACAAATCAAAAACACAGGAAAGAGTTTGATCCTGTGGCTGAAAGGTTAATAATCTCCTGATATCACTTTCAGTGTGTGAGCATGTCTCTTAATCCCGGAACTCCTGCTGTTCATTGTTGGAGGATTAAAGATTCAGATTTAACCTTCACAAACTCTCAGTGAACGTTTTAATGTTTTGCTTGAATCTCATTTTACTCCAGGTATTATCTGCTCAAGTGGAGGGCATTTTTAGACTTCATGTGGACTAGAATAAAAATAACAGATTAGAACACGAGACCCTCGTTGCGCAAAGTTCCAACGAATGCATCAAATATCAGCTTAGCCTCAACTTCAAGGAACTTTTGTTGATATTTAGATGCTTCATTGTCATCCTCTTGTATGATTAATTGGACAAATCTCCAGAGAAGCGCAAGAAAACGATCGCTGAGAGTATCAGAGACCGACATAATTAATGGCTGACTGTTAACAAGCTTCTGCAGGAATGCTCATGCCAAAAATTACAAATTTTCCCCCGAGTGAAATCCACCAGTGAGGCTGTGTTAAATTACTGCTGTCACTGTCTTTGGACTGAATATTTCACTCTCAGGATAAAACCAATCTGGATGGGCTTATGGAGGCTTTTCACCAAGATAAAAGCAATAAATCATAACTTTTTACATTTAAATGGAAATGCATAATTCAGCCCGGTCCTTTAGGGGATGTCAAAAGAGGTGAGGTTGTCCATGAGACCATCTGTTGGTATTTAAGCACGGTGTGAGGTGAATTAGAGGGAAACACTAAATGCAAATAACGTGTTTGGCCTTTTTCAGGCAATAAAATATTCAAGTAGCCTTATGGCAGGTTTATGTAGAGATGGCAGTGTTTATATTTATAATAGGGAGTAACGATACACCAAAGTCACAGCTCCAAATGGGTTTGGTACAACAAACAGAGGAACAAATCCCAAAATACTGTTTTTTGTTTTAAAATAATTATTTCAGAAGCAAATGCATAAAACTAAACTTCCCTTGTTAGTGAGGAGGGTCAGCTGCTAACACTATAAAATCAAAAACTCAATTTGTTCTGTTTTTTATCCCATCTGAACTGTAAACGGTGTCCCACAGGCCACGCGTCAAAGACAACATTTCATAAACTCCAGAAAGGCATCTTTATTTTGGGCTGAAAAACATTCCAACTCATAAAAACGACAATGAATAAATATGAAACAATTACCAGTTTGGGCAGAACTGAATCAAATTTCAAGTCGGTTTATTTATCGAGCGCCAAGGCACAACAGAAGTCATCTCAGGGCACTGTAGAAACATTCATTTACTTAAAAAGCCAATTAGTAAAAGTTCTCTGTCTAAGGAAGCAGCAGATTGTGTTGAGTCTTCACTTCATCACAGTCTCCCATCCTGAGCAAACACAAAGGAGACAGTGGAAAGGAAAAACTCCCTTTAACAGGAAGAAACCTCCAGCAGAATCAGGCTCAGGGCAAGCGGCCATCTGCTTCACCCAGCTGGGTTTGAGTGGACAGGAAGTGGAAACAGACACAGAATGACAGGTCCAGGTGTGGTTTCTATAGGAGGAAAGACAAGAAACATGTTAATATATAAATAATTATAAATACAAACAGGAAAAGTAGCACAAGTAAAGACGGCAACAGAGAGGAAATGTGGTCAGTTTGTCCTCCAGCAGTCTAAGCCTATAGCAGAATAACTCAGGAAACCCAAACCAACCCTAACTATAGGATTTATCAAAAAAGGAAAGACTTAAACATTAGCTGGAAAACCTTACCAACTGTTTTATCTCGACAATAAACAACTGTGTCGTCAGCATAAAAATGTAAGGATGTAAGTAAACCTGCAGTCTGAGTGAAATGCCCTGTTAGGAAAATATGGAACAATAAGATCTATAATATAAGATGGAGCTAGGTTGTTGAGAGCTTTGTATGTTCGAAGCCCTCATATGCTTGACAAACGATATTCATGTAGAGCTTTATTTAAAATCTGTAGCTTTAATTAGCCCTCAACAAATGCACAGTAATTGTATAACTCTAAATTACACCCAGTTTAAGTGAGACCTGGATTTTGCTTTAATGAAAACAGATTGACCTGAGCTTTTTTCAGTCTTCTCACAAATGAAGACAACGGCTGAAGTAGCTAAACCTGCTTCAGAAATTCAAACTCATAAATAAAAATAGTTTTTGACTGAATATGTAAAGTCTGTGTCTAACTGTTCACTACATGAGCTTCTTCAGAGGTGTATAAAATCTATTTAGTGTCCTAAAACTCAGCAGTTATTGAACCAACACATAGGACAATGATTTATCAATCTGAAATCAGTTCCTGATTTAGTTTTTGTGTTTTCCTTTTCATTTGTTCCGGTCCTATATGTGTTGTTGTAAAATAGTGTTGATAACTTTGACGCTATGAGCATCATTCAGTGAAATTCTTCCTAACAGCCATGTTTATCTGCGCCTAATCTCTTAATTTGGTTTCATTCACTGCAGTTCCAACAGTCTTGTGTTTTATGAAACAGCGGAGCTGTTTTATTTGAGGCCTTTTAAAGATTTACTGCCTCAGTGGGCTCAAATGAGCGTGGAGTCAACAGCCCAGGAACAAAGTCCAGACATCCAGAAGGAGCGGGGCAGACTGGGGGCTCGTTTGGCTCAAAGAACAGGGAGACAGGAGATTTACTTTGGGATTAAACAGGTTTATATTTCTGTTGAATCACTAAAGTGGTTAAAAAAAAAAGGATTCACTGCAGCAGGTTTGTTTAATTAAATCAGCTTTGGTTTAAATAACTAACTAAAGGAGAACCTCCTTAACTGCAGAAAACCATGAAACAAACACAACAGCATGTAAAATCTAGCAGCCTGGACCTGGAACAAGTAGTTCAGGTATGTGATGCTCGGACAAATCACGAGCTGTGGTTTGAGCACCATGAACAGCAGATTTACTCCTTCAATCTCAAAATGTCCTTTAAACAAGTCTGAATCAGTAAAACTGTCTATGCTCCAACTGACCTTTATGCTTCATAGGTCACCAAATATAAAGTAATCCTTTTTTATTACTAGAATCCTCTTTGACAGCATATTAGAGCCCATGTAGGTATAAAAATAATAAAGACACTGGTAAACAGGAAAAAAAAAGATGTTTTCCTTCACAAATTTAATTTTTTCTTATGCGCAAAAGTTTAAACGTTTAAATAAAATGGTCAAACTGTTCATGATCAGGCTCGTTTTTCATAAATTGGACTTTTTTCATCCCATAAATGTATTGCTCATCTTAGACGGCCTTTTAGTAAATTTACAATTTTAATCTAAACAAACTCTGGCCTTTTATTTATTGTCAAATTAACATTTGCTGTAAACGTATGATACATTTTCTGGTACATTTTTTACTTTAATCTTGAAAGTTATGATAGTTCCTTCTTGCAAATTTATAAATTTATAAGAATATTATAGTTTTATTTTTATACTTTATTGTATTTAGTCATGGATGTTATTTATTTTTTGCACATTTATTAAAAGTTTTTCCATGAAAATAAAAGAATGTAAAAATTTCTGAGATTTTTCTTCATATTTTACCCACTCCGTTTATTTGAGGTTTTAAAATAATCTTGCTGTCACAACCCAATTCTTCATTTGACCTCAAAGTAAATAAAACAAGTTTCTATTTACAAAACGGATATTTGAACAGAAAAATGCACAGTCTTCAGTTTTTATTTTATTTTATTTTTATTCTTAGACATTTAAACACTGCTCTATTCATACCAGAAATATAATATTAGTCTTCATTATACTATTTAGGTTCCAAATCTTAAAGCTGGTTAAATTAAATTAATTTAATTAAAGTTAAATTCAAACTTGTCACCTCAAGCAGCTTCCTGAATAAAACAAACTGAAAATCCACGACAGGAATTCAAGCTCATTATGAACAAGTTAAATAATCATCCCTCTGTATATTTCATATTAAAAAATCTAAAAGAAAAAAGAAAACGCAGATCTATTTTTAGCCTTGTGACTCTCAAATCAAGCTGTGCTGTCAGAAAGTACGACTACGTTCACACACAGCGGGTCTAATTGGTGCGACTCCTCCGGGGCGCTCATCATTCAGCAGCTTCATTGTTTTAGTCGCAGCAGAAATTAGGTTTGAGGCGGGCTGTTTGGTGCGACTGAAAGATGTGGAACCACCTCGTGAGTTCTTACAGGTTGCTAAATCACACAAATACTCTGCTGCTCGTGTGTGTTCACGTCCGATCATTCCCTGAAGTCTAGTTCTTATTAACCGAGCAGCAGTCGGGATTTACGTTTCTGATCCTCGGTATTAATAACGCGCCACCAATATGCTTCGTTCTGAAAGTTTGAGAAAATCGCTTCGACGGACTGAGACGTCTGTTTGTTGCAACTCATCCAGCTACATCTGTTGTAATTACACCAGGATTATGCGTGTTTTCATTAAACCGGTACCTGTGGAGTTTATTTAGCTGCACAAGCTGCTTCCTTCACTTCAATCGCTGCAGGTTTGATGTTCGCCCCAACTGTCGCAGATGTCGGTTGAGGCACAAGGAATAAACGTAGACTCGCAAGCAGAAGACAGATGGATGGAATATAAATATAAGCGTATTTATTAACAAACACAACAAACTAATTGTGCTGCTGTGGCGGTTAGGAAATAGGACGTGTTGTGGAACTAAACACTGGAACAAACTGGTAAAGATCAGAGAGCCAGCCTGGAGCTAAATACAGTAATGACAAACAATACAAGTGTGATATTATAAGTGTGTGTTGGAAGGACTCTCAGCTACTACCACACCAAGCGTTAGCTCAGTATCTGAAACAATTCACTGACTTGTAGCCATAACTGTGCATGTTAAGGTCAATCAGCTGTCACCATCTCTGCGTGGATTAACCTCAAAGGTACTTGTAGATGAACATTTAATCATTATTGCCTGCAATTTTCAGTAAATTCAATCCAGTGGTTCATGAGATGTTCATGAGCATGCATTCACAGCTTTACACAAACATGGTCAAATACATCATCTTCCACATTTACCTTTCAGCAGCAGACGATAATCAACAACCAAACAAGCTAATTAAGGTAGAGATCAACATGAGTTGAGCAAAGGACAGAATATGTAAAACATGTTAGCACTAAATTAAATATAAACTAGAGAAATTGCATTTCCTACAAAAACGCAGTGTGAACGCTTATTACCAAATGACTGTAGCTGAAAACTGCTGAGGAAGCTAAAACCAACTCTTAATGTGAGTTGAATTTGAACAGCTGACATTTGCTAAAAGGTGGAAAATAAAAGTGGAAAGCTGAAGAAAAATGGCAGAAATGTGTAGAATACGCTTTGAAATATGTAGAGGTTGAATATTATTGATTATGATCCAATATATATGGATTATTGAGCTTGCATTAGGATATAGGTTGAACAGGTTACAAAAATCTGAAAATAGAAACAACAAAAAAGAAACTGTGCTCAAAGAAGCAAAAAAAGCAGCAAAAAAGTAGCTGAAAAAGCTAAAAAAAAAAAAGTGCTGAAATTAGCAGAAAAAGGCTAAAAGAAGCATAAAAAGTTGAAATTGGTAGAAAGAAGACCAAAAGGTGCAAATGAGAAAAGAATAGTAGAAAAAAAATGTTTTAAATTAGCAGAAAAATACCTAAAAAGTAACTGAAAAAGCTAAAAATAAAAAAATCTGAATTTAGCAGATGAAAGTACATAAAAAGATAAAATTAGCAGAAAGAAGCTGAAGCAGAACAACAGCTGAAATGAGCAGTTAAAGGTTGTAAATCGAACAAACGGTGTGAAGGATGTGGAGAGCTCCATTCATTTTCAATGAGGAAAACATGGCCGACAAAGCTAAATATTTCTAAAGATAAAAACTGCACAAATACCAACAGTCACAGCAGGAATGTCCTGAACGAGACGAACGTTTTGATACATGAATTGTTGAAACCGAACAAAAATCATGCACAGAACGAGTTACGTGTTGAAACACACACACAAAAAAAATGGATCTCAATAATGAAAATGATTTATAAACAATCACACGATAATAATCTTAAAAGCACTAAAATGACACCAGGACGACAGGAAAACACAAACCAAAGAATATATCTACCTGGTTTATGAAAAAGTCTGAGTTTTTCTGTTTTGTTTACTTTTCTTTCTGATTTCTCTGAAGATTATTGTTTTTTATTACTCGTGCAGGATTTAACCAAGCAGCTGGATGAGGTGACCCAGAACTCAGAGATCATAGAGATCCGTCAGAAGGAGGCCGAGTGTGAGCTAGAGGCAGCCAGAGACCGAGTCCAGCAGCAAGCAACAGAAATCCTCCTCAAAGCCAGTAAGAACCTGAACCACTTCCTGTTTCTCTCTTCCCTCCTACTCAACATCCTTTGTCATCAAAAGGCATCAAACAAACCCTCTAACAACCTCTCCCATCTCTTCTGAGCCATTGCTGCGTTAATGTTATTGCTGCAAATCAAACCTAATGGCCGCCCCCGTCCCTAAAAGGCAAATAAGGCACTTTGAGCACCAAGTAAATCCAGTTGTGTTTATGTGTGAAACTCTATGATTTAATAACTAGCTGCATCTCATTTGCATAAACATGAGTGTCTGATGCATGTGAGGAATCTGAACCACACTCGGCTCATTGGTTTCATGAGCTCCTCGTGTCCAACGAGAATATTTTCCCACTTTCCCGCTTCTTGCATCTGAGCGAGGGGACTCTGATGAATTCAGCCGTGACCGTCACATTTACCAGGGATGCTCTCCACGGATATCTCAAGGTCATTTTAGGAGGAAAAAACTGTTTGACTTTCAATGTGATTGTTTTTTTACCAAGTCCAACAAAGTTAAGTCAGGTCCTCTGGACGGTTTCTTTGTTTTGTTGAAACGTTTTGTTTTACCAAACCCTAACCCATCCAAAGGACTTCATCAGTCTGAGGAGCCACAACAAACACAGTCTCATATGTAGCACACTCGCATAGTGTTTGGTGGTGATAAGATGGTTTCTGGAGTCCACCCTCTCTCCCATCGACTCCTCTGAGGCAGCCATGGCCAAAGTGGTTCACAACATAAATCCAGGTAATCCACTTTAGCCGTGTCTGCCTCAGAAGGAGTCGACGGGGGAGAGTAGTTTGCTAACAGTCCCATTGCTGTTGGTTTTATTCATGATAATGGTCATAAAGTCCAACATGCTGATGCTGATCGTTTCAATATTTGTGTCGTTCTCCTGCCGTCCTCTCTCAGGTCAGATAAGCAGCCTGCAGGCCACCCAGATGACCCAGGAGGCAGCCATCAGGGACCTGGACAACGAGCGAAGCCGGCTGAAGGATAAGGTGCTGAGGATGGAGGAAGAGAGGGAGGCCCTGCAGAACCAGAGCCAAGCCCTGGATGAGCGGCACAAGCAGCAGATCCAATCCCTCGAGAAGGTGTGTGTGTGTGTGTTTAGTATGCATGCAACGCTGGAAGTAACCGCGTTATGAATAAGTAATAAGTCATCAAAATGCTGTGACTGAACTTTTCTGTGGACTTTGCTCTACAGTACTTTCCTGTACGGTAACAATGTAAACTTCACCGCGTAGTTCTCTGGAGACAGAATCAGCTTAAATCTGCAGCTGTTGTACCACGAGGATGAAGAAGGACTGAATGTGGGTTTAAGAAACATTTTTATACATTGCTCTCTAACATTTGCCTCTTGTTGGCTGTTGTTTGTTGGTCAACAAAGTTATCACCTATAACATCAGCAGAGTAAAAAATAACTTTTGTTTTTTTCTACTAAACAAAATAAGCTTCATTCAGTCAAGAGTGAGACAGTTTTTATGAACTGCTGTTTTATTTAAACTGCTTTCATTTAAAATCAGGTATAATGTGAACGCATCACTTCAGACAAACTGAACTAATGTGGAGCGGCTTGATTTGGAAATATCTCTTCATCCATTCATCATCCATCCATCCATCTATCCATCATCCATCCATCCCATCTGTCCATCCATCCATCCATCCATCCGTCCGTCCGTCCGTCCATCTGTCTGTCTGTCTGTCTGTCTGTCTGTCTGTCTGTCTGTCTGTCTGTCTGTCTGTCTGTCTGTCTGTCT